GAAACACACACACACACACACACCCAAGACACATGCATCACAGTGATACTTGAATGTCCTTGTTGTGTTGCAGAGCGATGTAGTGTATCAGCTAACAAGCCTGCTGCCAAACCACCAACTGCACCACAGAAGTCGTAAGTATCTTTTCTCCCTCTGACACACACGCCACACACACACACACGCACACACACGCCCACACAACACACACACACACACACACACACAAACAGAGAATTTCTGACCCGCTGCTGCTGCGCTTGCCTCCAGGTAAAAATTAAGCTTGATTCTTGGATGAAATTCACTGCTGGTAGGAGGAAAAAAAGATAGTGTGGATCAGAGCGGAAAGTGCAGCTACATTAATTTAACGTGAGCCAGGAGCATATTGCAACATCTCTGGCTGCAGCCCACTCCACTTCACTCACACAGCTTTACAGCAGGATTCATAGCAGGGTGAAATTGGAAAGGCTGAAGCCTTGGCTTGTAAATCCACCTCAGACCCTGATTTATCTTGTGCTTGACCACAACAAGTTTAATGATTTTGTGTTAGAGATTGACAGGTCACTAAACACCTCCTCTGAAATCATTTCTTTAGTAACTGCAAACACATAGTCACGGTTTTTACACTTTCCAAAAATCGAAGCACAAGAAAATACATAGGGAATGATTTAACTGTGTGTCTGCCTTAAAAATAATCTGTTACGTGTTAGCATGTCCAGCTAACTAGCTATTTTTACTATTTACACAAGTACGCAGCATTACTTCCAAGACAAAGGAGCATTATTTGCTAACTGCATTTTGTGGGATTAAAGATTACACTAAAATAAAGCCTTGTATATCATGCTGCACACATACTTTGTATTATTTTCCCACCGTCTGGTAGGGGTCCAGGATGCTGTGATATCAGAGTGTAGGCTAACATTAGCATCCGATTTTTTGTGAATGTCGGTAACTTTGCAATCCAGTAACTTCAGCCAAACATGTTATCCAGGATAGTGTTACATTAGCCAAAACACATTGGTCAGTCCTCATCTAAAAGCCCTGTCTTGTAACAACTCAAAGGTGAAACATACAGATAGGAGAAGGTTTGTAAGCTAAGCCGCTAAACAGCTTTGTTAGAATTAATTAAGACTAATTTTATATTTAAGCAACATCACATTTGAGGGAATGCTGTTTTACCGAATATCAGGATGGCTGTGATTCAGTCGTAGATAATCACAGCCATGTTGATATTCAGTACAAAAGCTGATATTTCTTTAAACAACAGTTTTGCCATTTATTAGTTGACAGTAATAAGCAACAGCAGATTATGATTTATTTATTTATTTAATCATTTATTTGACGCCACCAACACAAATTGTTGTAAGTGAACTCGGACTGGATTGTTGCCAAGGAACACGTAAACATCATAGTGCATGCTAGCATGCTGGTCTACATGTTACCATCGGCCAGCTACTTTATATTATGTACATTTGTCTGTATTTTTCCATTTATTATGAACCAGTTGAGTGGCAGGTTGTTTCAGTGAGTGAACAGCTTGAGCCGTACGTTGCTCCATCGTTTCCTGCTCTCCATGGATAGTCTCCAGTAACTTCTTACTGAGTTACTGAGTTTTCAGAGCTGAAAGACAAACAAGTTTTTTTTTTTTTTAGTATTCTCTGTATGTTTTATATAAAGCATCTCACCTGTGCCCACTCACTGCCATGATCTCCTGTCTTGCATCAGACAGTTTCTGTATGGCAGTGGCTCTCAGGCTTGGTTTGTGTAAGACTTACGTTGTCCCTGCCTCTTTGTACATCCTGGCTAACATCTGTGACAGCTGGTTTACTCCCAGGGGAACAGTGGTATACCAGAAGCTGTCTGTCGCAGCTGTTACCCTGCTGGGCTGCAGATAGAGGGCCTTTGCACCAGGTGGAGTTTTCGCTCAGGTATTTTTCGATAGATGCTACTGGGCAGAGAGGATCGCCTGGCGGTCAAACATACGCCCCTTTGTTGTCTCTCTCTTCCAGTGGGTCTTTTTTTTTTTGTTGTTTCTTTGTTGAATGTCACAGTGAAATATTTTGGTCCATTCTCATCACGTTGTAGATGAACGAGTCAGATTTAACATCCCAATTCCACTCTTCCTCTTGTTTAGTAAACCTCTAAATTGCTGGACTTGGTGGTGCAGAATATTTTAAGACGGGCTGGTCTTCAGGTGAAATCAGGGTGGTGTGTTGTTTTGTCTTTCCCTGCCCTTCTGAGCTCTTATACATCACCTTTGAAAACATTATTAGCTGATATAAATTCAGGGTCCTGCATTAAATTCCATGAACAGCTAATCAGAGCCTGAAGCCCAAGGTTGATGCTGATGCTGTAGAGCTCCCCCTTTAGTTGTTTGTATTCCATCCATAAAACTGCCTCACAGGACTCTTTCATCGAGCCCGCTGCTTCATCATGGAATAGAAACGTCGGTGTTTATA